TATATATATAATTTTTTATATACATATATACATACATACACATATAATTCACTGTATAAATATATAATTGTGAATTATTACAATTGTATACACACATTATGAAACGCAAAAAATCAACTATTTAAACGCACTTCTATTCGACAGTCTCATTCTGAGCAAAGAATAGCGTAGCAATGAAAAAAGTCGTATTATATTTATATGAGTCTTCATCTTATTAGATCAAGAATCATTAAATATTTTGCTTAATTTTCTTTAGTTTTAGATTTTTTGTGCGTTATCATCATGGAAATGTGTAATTCCGAATATAAATAAAAAAATATCAAAAAATAACGCAAAATACTTAATGATTCTGGATATAGTAAATTGAAGAAATACATAAAATAGCTTGCACAAATCTGAGAAAATAGCCGTGCACATAATTCCACTCTCTGGCTCTATATTTATTAAAATAATTCCAATAATATACAAAAGAATATACAAAGCAATATCACCTTATATCTAGGAGGAAGATGGTATGTGAACGAGATTCGCACATGTCCATGTGCGACAGGGAAAGATAATAATAGTATAAGCGTGTTTTACTGAAGCGGGTTTATCACTCTAATCTGTCTCAGTCGAGCAATATTATACATGTAAAATGCCAATGGAAGTAGCTCATCAGGAATGTCTAACTGATCATCCTTGTATGTACGAGACGATTGAGGATTTCATCATAAAAGCACTTTAAAATTATCACTTACCAGATAAAAATAATCTTAATATTTATACCTAACCTAACCTAACTATTCAAATAACACCCGCGTGCGTATATTACAAACCTATTTATATTAACAGTTTGTTAAAAGTTATTATAGTCACAAAGTTAAAAAATTATATTCAGTAATAACACTTTTCAATCAATTAGTAGAAATGTGTACTACTTAATTGGAATTATTATTTTTTTTTTTTTTTTTTTTTTTTTTTTTTTTTTCAATATTAATGCAAGTAGTAACATACTTTTTTCACTTTTATGTTTGGTTTTTTCCAATTTTCTATATAAATTTTTAGTTTTTTTTCCCTTTTCCTTCAAGTTGACTTTCACATTATCCTTGTTCGGCTTAGTCTCGTCTCAGTTTTCTAAAAAAACCATACAACATTCGGATGTCGAATTAAATTAAATCTCGCTATAGAGATAACGATTTTACTTAATAGTTATCTAAAATAGAATTTATTTCGATACTTACTTTCTGAGACTGGGTTCTTTAAAAGTTATTGGCGTGTTTCTTCGTTTGGGACGTTGGTTTTCCGAATCTAATGATTGACTGTCCCCGTGATTATCCATATCTGTTCTATAAATTCAAGATGTCACAAGACAACATGTAATCCAGAACGTACAAAATGTTTTTATATAATGACATTAATAGTAATTTGCAATTATACGTACGTGTAATCATTGATTCTTCTAAATTCCATATCGTCGTCTGACGATACTCTCGGTTTAATATGAGACTCATTAAGTTTCTCCAAAACAACTTTTGCCGCGCTCGGATCCCGATTGCTTTCCAAACTGATTTTCTGCTTCGCCTTTTTCGTAAGTCTCGGCCCATTTTCGCTCTGATCAGTTTCATCTTTCACTTTCGATGTTTTCGATTTTTTATTCTTATTATTTTTTATTTGCTGCTTCTTCTTGTTAGACGTTATCTCATCATTATTGACTAGAATTAACGGCTGTTTTATTTGAGCGTGTTCAGTTTCATTCAGTACAGACGGAATATTCATCAATGATGCGTTATCGATACCATTCTCTCTAGCGGAATCTGTCACGTTATCCTCGTCAGGTAGTTGTAGATCGCTGATGAGCGCAAAGTTTTGTGGCGACGGACATGTCAACATTAACGTAAAATCATCTTCTTCTTCTTCTACAACTTCGGAATGACCTCTTCTATATGTAATAAAGCTCTCGAAACTCGTGCTGTCATGCGCGTCATTTACTCTTTCACGATCAAATATGGTTGACATTGTTTCGCAAATATTATTGTCCGTATTATTGTCATCCATCGAAGAGGATTCACATCCAGCATGATTAATAACAGATGCATTTACACTTCCTGTCGATGACGTATTAGATACGTTCACGGATTCGACCGAATTTCTTGACTGATCTTCTATGCTATCTGTATCGCTCGATTCAGCATATGCTATTTCAGAATTATTATTGACATCAAAATTATGCGAACGATCCAACTCTTCCGGCTCGTTATCCGGCGACGGCATGTTTAAAGTGTTACTAAACAGCCAACTTGGACCTTCCAGTGGATCATCCTCCCAATCTCTACTATTATTCTTTCTCGAACTGCCTGCTGTGTATAAAGTTTCGTTGAAGGCTTCTTTTTCAGAGACTTTGCGTGTTTTTGCATCGGAATCCGTCTTCGGTGTTTGTAGATACGATTCATTTTCTTCATTTACATTAACGGACATTTCTGTCTCTGTTATCACATTTCTCTCTAACGTATCTTGAGATACGTCATTGCTGCTCTCCTGTATTTCAACGTCATCAATTCTGCTGCCAATTAACTGCGAAAACAATAGCCATCAAATTTACAATTTAAGACAAATATATAAATATACAAATTGTACAGATCGTTCAAAATTTAAGTATTTGTGTAAAACACACTTACTCTTCTAATGTTAATTGTTCGCGAATCTTGTAGTAATTTTGAAACATCTCTGAGTTTGACTCTAGGACTACCTATACTTATACGATCCCTGCTATGTCTTGGAGTTTCATCAACGGACCATCTTTCCGATTCCAATCGAGTGTAAGATCCCATTCTTCTTGAATGGCGACTTCTCTTTTGTTTTCTTTGCTCATTATTTACCGTTTCTGCATCTAAAATGTTAATTAATAATTAAATAGATTAAATTATTGCAATTTTTACTCATAAACATGTATATATGTAAATGAATGTAACATGTAAATAAAATGTAATATTAGTCATACCACTAACTCTGGGCGAAGAAATTCTCATTCTTTCCGGCATTCTACGATTATTTTCCTGTAATTACATGTTACTTGCAAAGAATGTTTTTTTTTTACTTTATACATACACAAAACAATTTCATGTGTATATGTACATATATACATACATATCTAAGTGGTGAAGTAGCAAAAGGTGTAGTGATTGATGATCTATTCTCATTTTCCTCATTTCTTTCAGGTGTAAGTACTTCTTGTACGATACTCAGCCTTGATATGTTAGTAATATTTTCTGTATTAATTCGACTCAAATTAATTGTGGGTTTTGTAATGGTGTGCCCACTCACCATAGGTTTCACCACTCCTTTGGCTGGTGATTTTGGTGATTTTTTTGACGATTCTTTTCCTACAAAATATTAATATATTTACACATGTATAAATCAATCATGATAAAACAAAACCTTGTTCACATTTTAAATTCTTGCAAATATATCTCACTTCCTGTTGAAACAGATGACAACCTCGCATTATTATTAGAGGTAACAAACTCTTGACACATAGTAAGAGTATTGGTTAAAAAACTGGACATAGTAACCAACATTTTGAGCATTTCTTTTGCATTATTTTGAATACTAGTAATTATACTCTGAAACAGACAATAACTATAAATTTATACAAATTGTATTTTTCTGTAAATCTAATTTTTTCTATTGTTGATACAAACAGGCTTACAGTTTGTTTGGTGCATGTTAAGTTCAAATTTTGAATCTCGGCAAATAAACTAAGATTCTGTTTAAACAAATTCTGATTGTTCTGCTTCTCGTGTGAAAGAGCCTTAGCAAGATAGCTGTTGTTCTTTTTCACATTCTCATATACTAAAAAAAGAAGCAATTTCAATTAAGATAATATATTCACAGATCAAAAACAATCTGTAAACAAAAAAAAAAAAAAACAACAAAGTAGACAGCTGATGAATTTAAATCTTCTTACATAGCTTGTGTGATTTCTCTCTGAACTTTTTTCCCAAACACACTGATCTCTTAGTGAGCAGAGTAGCTCGTTTTGGTTTTCGAATTGGTACTTTAGCCATGTTGTATTTATGTTTATACACTTTCTTTTTAAATAAATATATATACGTATAAACACATAACAGACTTTTACAGATTTGCTCAGAAGCTTTATTATTCTCTCACTGCAATTTTGTGTCTCTGTTCTGTGAAAAATTTGTCTTGTAATCAGAAATTTCTAGACTAGTGTTTCAACATTCAAGTAATCCTGCGTCGCGTGGTCAACTTAGTCGCTTGTGTGTGCGTACGAATACTTTCTTGGATTTCACTTTTTCTCTCTTAGCGTTCGCATGTAGAACAGTTCTTGTATGACAAATATTACTAAATAAATTCATACCTAAACATGTTCTACGGGATCTGACTTGGCACAAAATTCTTTACTACGATATCTTATCATTGGAAGAGCAAACACACTGAAGTTAGGGAAACGTTTCAACGTACGCAAAGTCAACTATTTGAAAATAAAATTCACTAGATACATTAAGGTCCGTTTGCAAAATTTGACAAAAAATTTGATAAATCTTCTACAATGTAACTATAATGTTTTTATATCTATAAATGTTTTACCTTGTTTATCATTAATTTAATTAGTTTTAATTTTCTAATTTATATTTATTATTGTATAATTAAATTTTTGAAAGAGACGCGATGTATAACTGATGCTGAACACAGCAGACGACATCCGTCAAACACGAGCTGCGTTCCGATATATATTCACTGCCACTATAATAAAAATCTATACTTCACGTTACATACAATATAGATTTTCAGTACTGGCAGTAAACTTCAAAACGCAGCTATGTCTGCTTTGTGTTTATTTGTGAAACAATCAGCGAAACATTTAATTTTTTCAAAAGTTAGTCGAGGAATATCGTTGTCTGCAACAACACGTTTAAAAGAAAGTGAGTTTGTTATTGTATAATGCTAATCAACTCGAATATATGCGGATTCTACTTTAAACTAACCTCCTTTTATGTCTGTGTGTGCTAAAGCTTTATTGGAGCCGAAAACAAACACAAATAAATAAAACACTCATTGTTAACATATAATTGCTGCTATAATTTTATCTTATATAATATCACGATCTAACAAAGAAGTTAAAAACACTAATAACAAAATCCAACGATACTATAGTTGAGTTTCCATTTTTAAAATGATCTTCTTTTACTTGATCTACTTTTCTTATGTATTTTTTTTTACGTACAAAAAGTAAACTGTAAAGATGAAAGATTACAAAAGAATGGCGAGAGAGGTAACAAGATGACAGCAGAAACAGTGTGCTAAAAAGTAAAGTTGGAACTAGAAAGTCTTGTTAAATAACAACTTTGGGAATTATAAATATGAAATTTGTTTATTTTGATCTTTGTTGCAGTAATTGAAAAGAAAGAAGGAAATACTTTAACTATCGAAGGTGTTTATATATCTAACGAAAAGGAACATCTGCAATTAAAGACAAAGAGCAATGCGTGTATACTTTGCGAAACAGGACTTGATGTTAAACATACTGTACGTTCTGTAGTAATATAAGTATTTTATCTTGTTAAAACAATTTTTTTTAGATGTTTTCTATGATCTGCAGGATGTTCTTATTCTAAAACAATTTATGCAGTTAAATGGCAAAATATTACCTCGAAAGGTATCTGGCCTGTGCCGTACACAACACTTGAGAATTAAAATTATGTTGAACATGGCTAAGGAAGCAGGTACATAAGTGCCCATAGATGTAATTTATATGCAAGTACTTCAGGAAATAATTGTTTATTACTTTGCATATGTTTCAGGTTTAATACCAGTGGATATTAAAGATGGAGATCTAAAAGATCCAAAACAGAGAGAAAAGTGGAGAAATTATAACACATATTATGATGAAAATACTATTAAATTTAAGTACAGAAATTAGACACTAAAATATATATTAAATGTATAGTGTGTTCATTTTTACCCATAGTATGAGTATTTATCTTCCTTAGGGTTCTGTTTATGTATCTTATGTGTAATTTGTACACATAAAGTCATATATGCACTGAACTATAACCTATACAGTTCAGTGCATATATGTGATACTATCGCGCTAGAGTAGAGTGCCAACCTCAACTCCAAATGTTACTGTACAGACAATGGCTGCATTCGGGGAGCGCGCTATCAGCACTGGTCTAGTTTCCACCGAAACCCTCAATTCGGTTTCACTCCGATACTGATCAAATTTAGTGCTCTGTTTCCATTGGAATTAGAGTACTTATAGATCGAAGCGGAAGTGAAATCAGCACAATTTGACAGGTTTCCATCGACTTGAATTTGATTCTACGTCGCATTAGGTGTGAATTAATGCTTCGGTGGAAACTAGACCACTGTTGCATCATTCTATCTTTATTCCTCATTAGATGTAAAACAAAGACAGAATGACGCAACGTACCCAATAATAGTAGCCTCTCGCGCAATGTCCAGCTGCTTTGTGCGCATGCGGTGAACGTTGGGTGCGTTCAGAAAACTCTACGGTTGTGAGAACATCACTTATGTATCACCAGAGAGAAACCTGAGAGCGGCCATCCTATAGTAATTTTTTACGACGGTTTCAGCCGCTGGTTTTAGCCGTATTTCCACAAAAGTGGAACTCAAAGGCCGTTCTACATTAAACGCAAGTCGCAGGNCACGAGACCTGCGACTTGAGTTTCATGGAGAACGGCCTTTGAGTTCCACTTTTGTGGAAATACGGCTAAAACCAGCGGCTGAAACCGTCGTAAAAAATTACATTAGGATGGCCGCTCTCAGGTTTCTCTCTGGTATCACCAAGGGTACGTTCCAAAATCTTACCTTGGTAACCAAAAACTATGGGTGCGTTCAGACAACTCAACGGTTGAGAGATCATCACTTATGATAGGACTATTCTTCAAAATCTGCTGCGGTTCCAAAAGTATGATCCAATCAGAAGTGATTATCTCTCAACCGTTTTGCAACTGTTGAGTTGTCTGAACGCACCCTAGAGTAACCTAACCTAACGTAAGATATAGCATTTTAGTAACTAAGGTAGGATTTTGGAACGTAACCCAGAGAGAAGCCTGAAGGGCCTTCTACAATGAGATATTAGTAAGGCCTGTTCTACAATACAGTCGTAAGTCGTAAGTCGTAAGAAATTCACCAATCACAATTGAGTATTCCTCTGTAATTGATCTGTGATTGGTCAATTTCTTACGACTTACGACTGTATTGTAGATCAGGTCTAATAAATCAGAAGTCAGAAGCAAGAAATTGACCAATCACACATGCTGCGTATATGAAAAGGAACCTTTAACCTGATGCAAGTCGAACACGCCGTATCACAGTTCCAATATGGGTTTTTTGGTGCAAGTCCCAACGCAGAGAAAAAGAACAGACCCGATATGTAGCGGTAACGGTCAATCCATTTTGATCCATCTCTTCCTCATTCTCTTTTCCTGTCTCTTCTTCTCTCGCGCGTGCTCCGTGATCGCGTGAATTTTCGAGAGCCGCACGAGAGATGCATCGAATTGCAATTTTTCTCGTTTCATCGGCTTTGTCGCATCGTTGATTCTTACGCTCGGTATCCCGGCGCTTTACGTGCGCATTGTAAATTTGCGAGATCGCGCATTGTCTACGATCGTTTTCGCGGGTACCGGCTTTCGTTGAGATCACGCGACGGCTCCTCCATGGAGCTCGCTGGCAACCACGTGCTTTGAAATCTCGTCGGCCGTTACAGCCGCCAAGTTGCCAAGTGCGTAAGTATATTCTTTTACCGCGACATGTGACTCGGTCTGTTTGCCGTTTCAATTTGCATTATAAAATCTCATTTTCTTCACTGCTTGTTATAAACGTACGCGCGATCATGTTTTCAGAGAGCGTGGTAAGGTCGCCGAAAATTTCTCGGTCGCGTCAGAGATAAAGAAAGGCATGCCGAGATGACGGAGTTTGTTGACGGCTGGTTTCTGGGACATACCCTGGGCGAAGGGGCTTATGGCGAGTATGTCTCCTTCTGTGTTTCATATGATGTTCAATTTTAAACATTTATTTCGAAAGTTGCGACGATTTCGGCAAATATGCCGCTATCGCGTCAAGATCCCATTGTTCTCGGGGCACGTGCTTAGACGTTAATCCAATTATTAATCTATCTTGATTAATAAACTCAAACTGTTGGCATAAAAGTTTGATTAATATTTATTACTATTTTTTTGTTGTTGTTTATAATTTGTCACAAGAGAAAAGTTTTATATACAACTAATTACATAGCTATTATGTATTTCGAAATCGATTCTGATCGATTTGGTTTCGTGTTTTCTTTGTTGCCACACTTATGGTCGCACTAATGACAATCTCGATCGAAAATATTGTTTCGAAATCTATAATTCAAACCACACATCGATTGAGTCACGACTACTAAAATAAGAACAATAAGTAAAATTTATTTTGATCGAAGCCGATTCTGAAAAATTATCGTAAAACTAAATAAATATGTATATTGTTTGTATGTAGAGAGAAATTGTCTTACAATTGTCTTTAATTATTCTTAGGGTAAAATTAGTTGTAAATAGATCTACTGGTGAAGCTGTTGCTATGAAAATGATTGACGTAGAAAAACATCCAGATGCTAGACAGACAGTGCGCAAAGAGGCTGCTATTCATCGTATGTTATCGAATCCTAATATTATACAGTACTTTGGAAAACGGAGTGAGCCCAACATGGAATATATATTTTTGGAATACGCTTCAGGTGGAGAGTTATTTGACAGAATTGGTAAGATTTGTTTAACAATATTAGCGAATTTAGAAGAAATAAAAACTAATTAATAAATTTTGTACATGTGATCTTTGCAGAACCTGATGTTGGTATGCCAATATGGGCTGCTCAAAAATATTTTAAACAATTAATTTCTGGTGTAGAGTATTTACATAGTCGAGGAGTTGCACACAGAGATCTCAAGCCAGAGAACTTACTGTTAGATAATAATGACAATTTAAAGATAAGTGATTTTGGATTAGCAACACTATACCGTTTGCAGAATAAAGAACGTTTGTTGGAAAAAAAGTGTGGGACGTTACCTTATGTTGCGCCAGAGGTGTTGGAGAGACCTTACTGCGCAGAACCTGCAGATATATGGTCTTGTGGAATTATTCTTATAGCTCTTTTAGCTGGAGGTAAATTTTAGACAAGAGAACTGAAAAATGTAAGAGAAAGAAGGCTGTGTTTCTTGTTTAGATATTTTTTTATGTTTCTAACGTTATGACACTTTTGTACATACGTAACTGTTTTAAGTAATGTTTTTAAATGTTGGAATTATCAGTAGATAATTTGTGAATTGTGATATATATACACAAGTCAATGTGCTTACTGATGTAAAATTTATTGAAATATCTAATTCCTAGCTTACATTTCTCAGTTTTTAACTGGTCCATGTCTGAAATACAGAACTGCCATGGGATCAACCCTTGGCAGAGTGCCATGAATATACCGCGTGGAAAAACGGAAAATATATGTCTCTTACACCATGGAAAAAATTGGACAATTTATCGTTGTCGTTACTAAAAAAGATTCTTGTGGATTCGTCAACGGCAAGATACAAAATGTCGGATATTAAGCAACACAGGTGGTTTGCTACAAAAATGTCAATAGGTAAGAAATATTACTTAAAATCAATATTTTCAATAAAGTACGGTAGCTTCTCTTACTTGGAGATTTTGAGACGGAAACGCGCAGACTTGAGAGAGCTGTAAATTATCTTGGCTGTTCGAAGAAATAAAAAATGTTGACAAACCAACATAGCAAAAAAAATAAAAATAAAAAATAAAAGACAAACTAAAAGAAATTAGAAGTAAGAGAAGAGAGAATTAGAAGTAAGTGCGATAGAACGATCTTTTTTGTGGCATTGTGTCATTGAAGAAAAAAAAGGATCGTAAACCTGCCGACTTTTATGGCGCACCTTTTTTTGTAACAATGAAGATATAAAAACAAACATTTACGAGTATAGAAACTTCCTCTTTGAATTTAAGAAAAGCTACTGTATATATCTCTAGTTTTAGATTTATGTTTTGTACGTACGTTTTTTTACCAAAGGTTTTGCGAAGACGTCGAAATAGTGTTTACTTAGTCAGGTACTGAGTGACTCTGAGTATTATATAGTTACTCAAAGGGACTTGGTACCTAATTTAGTGAATACTGCATACAACGGATTCCTGTTGCTTCTTTTCTGTGCGTTCTATGCTATTTAGAATTAGAAAACATTACTAAGAATGCAGTTTTATTATCACAGTAAAGCTCTTGCCTTTTCTTTGGTAGTAAAGCTCTATGAGTTTAATCGAGCGTCATAAAGCTAGATTACCAAAGCAAAGAGCAGTAGCATATACTTCCGAAGTGATTTGCGCAACTAGTTAAGTTCTATTTAGAATAAGATAGCAATAGTAGACGCTAAGAGGGATAGCATAGATTTTTGTACAAAATTTCTCTCGTCGATATATATAAATACCACAGTCTTTACATAGAATGATTATATGAGGAAGATTTATAAATTTATAGACGAGGTGGATGGACCAAATCACTTGAATCAGACGAATGTAGAAGATGAAAATCTTAGAAACGTTTGTCTGTCGCAACCTGAGTTTCTTGGAATGGAAAGCAACAACGCGATCCAATTTAATTTAGATGAACGTCCACCATTTTCATTTTCTCAGCCCGCTCATGTAGACGATCTTTTATGCACGCAATTGCAAACACTCACACAACCCAGTCAGGTAATAATGACTTTTTCTTTGAATTAACTTTTTTTTTTTTGAGTTTATTAATAATAGCGTCTGAAATAAACTTTTATGTAAAGAAGAAGAAGAATTAAGATAACATAAAATAATTTTTTTTGCAGCAAAACTCTTTTCAAAGGCTAGTTCGTCGAATGACCAGATTCTTTGTTGATATAGAATGCGAGAATATCGTGAAGAGGTTAATAAAATATTGCGAGAAAGAAAATTACACTTGTCGTGTTAATGAATTTGGCGTGGTAAGCTATGATTTGTATTTGATATGTATTTTTGATTCCAATTCTGTTTAAGTGGACAAATTTATTATCGAAATACACAATTATGAATTTTGTATGTATCTGTAGGTCACAATATCGACGACAGATCGGCGAAGGATGCCACTCGTCTTGAAAGTGAATTTGATAGAAATGAACAGAAATATATTAGTAGATTTCCGTTTGTCGAAAGGTTGTGGTTTGGAATTCAAACGAACTTTCATGAAAATCCGATATGCGATGGAGGACGTTATATTGAAAAGCTCTACAATATATTCGAAGAATTAATAACTGTGACAAGAGAAGAAGTAATATTATAGATATACACATAAAAGTTTGTATTTTCTAGATTTTTTTAAAATAAAGTTTTAATATTTTCCTACATTTTGTATTTTTCTGCCAATTTCTTACATAATAATACATACAACAGTGATTACTGTTTTACCCGTGCAGGTGCGCGCGTATTGGATATTAGAATTGAGCAACATAATCCTCAACGAGATGTCGTTCGCGTCGTTTTCACTCATTTTAGAAAGGATAGAGAAAATGATTAAATATCGTCGCGCTGACCAGTAACTTTCAGTCTTCAGTCGCGCTTGATGTTAATCGCCGGTTACCACGCGTGCCAAGTGATCGTCTAAGAAGACGTTGCGTTGTGTAGTAATAATTGCTCGTTCATCTAACGTCTAACTGTGGATATTTCGAAGAACGTTGTGTTATACATCTGTATCAATTGATTTTTTATTCACCAAATTATCAGTATTCCAAGAACTTGTTTAATTTTCGGAAAGAGAGAGAGAGAGAGAGAAATGGTGACGTTAAATCCGGATCTTCGGCGAGAACGCGAAAGATGTACATTCGATCCTACGGAACTCACGCATTTTTGGGATGGCGGTCTGGAGAAGACGTCGCAGCGGCACGAGTTGGGTACGTGTTAATGCCCCCTCTCTTCACCAGTATTAATCACACGACTCGTGCAACTTCCAGCACTATTGCAATTTACTATTATATTTTTTCTCGTTCAGCGAAGTAGTTTATCTCGCAATACTTCAACTTTCCGAGTAATTAACAAAGATAGAATAAATAACAAAGAAATAATGTATGATATTCTATCAGCGTATCGAGCATAAATATCTGAAGTATCGAGTTTATCTTATCTTATTTTTTTCATATATGCTTTCCTATATAGACGCATATTATATATCATAACTGTTCATATGATTCAATCAAACGTTGGACGTTGAACGTTAGTCCTCTTCATCTTATAAACTTTAATACTAGTTTTGATCATATATACAGGATGTACAGGATATTATCAAAAAGATAATATATTGTCAAAAAGAATAATTTTTTTTCTTCACAATGCCAACTATTTTAATGTTTTCACATTGATTAATTTGTGCGTTTTCTGATACAAGATGTCTGAAACTTTTTGACAGCTGAAGCGTAAAGGGGGTCAAAATCTGAATAGAAAAGTCATGTGCAATTTTGCAAAATTCGCAATAGTTACTAAGAAATTAATCAATTAATATCACATTAATATTGAACGCGTGGAAAGGGAATTGCAATCGGCTGAAATTTTTTATTATTGCGTTACACCGTGAGAATCAGCTAGCATGGAAACATTCGTGTCACACGTCGCTTGCTGCTTTGCTCATCTCTCATTATTAGGAGACAAAATGAGCAATCTTTACAACTGAAAATCACGTTTATACATCTAGCCGCTCGCAGATTGCTTCCTATACGCGCTCATATTAATTAATTAATATCATAATTATATCATAAACAAATAAATTGTTCGTAATTAGTTTTGCGAGGAGATATTTACGAGAATATAAGTAAAGTAAATTGTGTATAAATTTACTGCAAGTCAAGTTGAAGCAGTAAAGTTGCTCAATAAGAAACAATTGTGTTTAAGATAAAAGGTACCGCAAAAACCTGTAATTTAAGGAGTGAACAGTCCATGTTTACGACCAAGAGCTCGCGTTTGACGCTAGCCGTTTATCAGTTTTTGTTGCGTTTCTTGCTTTTCGAGATCTTGACGTTAAGATCGGTTCTATTTATGAAAGCGAAAATACTAAGACTCACGCTAACATTACAGTGTAATTATTAAGTTTTTTTTTAATTTTTATATAATCAGAAAGATAAGAAAAATATATCAGTATAAGTGTTTTTAAAACGCTCTGCATAAATTATAATAAATTATAATAAATAAAACTTTCTTGATGTATACAGTACATGTTTTGTGTCAAAAAGATAGTTGAGAAAAATTGATACATTAAAAATGTGCTGATAAATTTATTGATATTTAAACACAAACTATTGTTTAAATATAGAAGAATTGAGACGCGAATATGTTTTCTGGCACACTTGCTGTCAATCTTCTCATTTTATGATTTTGGATCTGAAAGATCATAAAATATATTTTTTTAACCATTTTTTCTGTTATAATAGATGTAAAATTATTAATCCTTTGCAGACTAAGTCTCTCAGACTTTACTCAAAAATTGCGTATCGGCGTTTCTAGAAAACATTAGTTTTTTTTAAACGCTTATATCTTCGAAACTACTAGAAATGTTTTTACTTTGTTTTTTTATCGACACAGAATCGTTTAAAACAAAAAAAACAAAAAAAAATTGAAAAAATATTGATTTTTTGCGGAGATACCTATTCTCTTTCGATCTTAAAATCGCGTAGGTCTCACAGACCCGGTCTGGCCACGAAGGCTTAAGAAAAGTATAATACTTCGAGTTACAATTAACTTGTAAAGTTAACAATAAAAATGTTTTGTTAAATATCACAATATATTTTTCTCAGTGTAGATACAGATCGGTCACACGACGCGTGGCTCGTCATGTAAACGAGTTTTAAGAATCATAAGCATGATAATTGTGTTCCGAGTACGTGTAATGATTATTTGTCACGTATATTGTACAGAGTCAACGATCGGTCAATGTTCAATGTAAAATTACGCGAGATAAATATCATACATCATAATTTTTAAATTTTTACTTTGATAAACTCTCAAGTTCTTCCAGGGTTAATAATATTATAATAATAAAAATAATATATCAATAATAAAAATGCGTATGCAGTGCAAAAGGATTTGCAGAAACACATTCACTCCGACAAAAATTAAATACTAATTGCAAATTTCAACGTTTCTTAGTATCTATAAAATCTGTTAAAAAAACTTATTTTTAACGTAAATTGTTTTTAAATTGTTTTTGCTTACAACTATCGGGGAATTCCTGTCAAGATACTGAAAAAAACTTGTTAAACAGAAAATTGTAAAATTTACATTTTACTCAAAGATATACTTTAATCTATTATACGTACGTAAAACAATATGTATGTAAAACATACATAGACTGCTGTTTTGCAATTAAAAATAGTCATTGAAACTAATTTATTTATTAATATATATATATATTGTATATATATATATATGTATATATGTATATTATTTGATTATATTACAAAATTAATGAGAAAAATGACGTGACTAATATATGACTATATTAATTCAAGAGTTTTGCATGATAAAAAAAAAAAATTTAATTTTAATTGTTTTTCTTGTTTTTTTAATATTTTTAATCAAGGTAATTATTACCATGTGTAAACGTTATTCATTTACATCGATTATTAGGAGAACATTCATTAGGTTCTATTCGTATTATCTTCTGTTCGTTACGATTTTTTTAGTGTGTCGCTTAATTATTTTCAGAAAATTTCTTTCTGAGCGACCCGCTCTTGCAGGACAAAATACCCGCAAAATACAAGAGTCACAAAGAAATTTATGAGGAAGCGATAATGAAAGGATGTCGAGTAATACAAAAAGTGCAACAACTACACGAGTCGGGAAAAGGAGGCATGAACGTTTTCTCGTAAGAATATTGCAAATTTAATGAATATAACAGAGTAATATAAATATTAAATCGGTAGAGAAAAGCTCATAGATGTCTAATCAAAATCAAAAGAAAAGTAGGTCAGAAACAGATTACACATGTGTCAATACGTGAAGAAATCTTTGCATTGACTTGGTTATTTTGTAATTTTTGTTTATATTCTCGGTTCTCACTAAAATACGAATCGAAACATTGTGAAATGAAATATTCGGATGAGAAACTCAGATTCTTTCAATTGTTTCACACATTGACAACTACGTGTGACTCATTCTGACCTACTTTCCTCTTGATGTTGACTAGCAAATATTATTTTATCATTGGATAAAATTCGCGCGACAAATAATTACGCAGGATAATAAAAGCAATATTTATAATACTATAATATTGCCAAACATATTAATAATAGTTTAGTAAATACTAATAATTGTTTAATAAATGTGCAATTTGTTCGTTTAGAGTTTTACACATTAACGACTCTGATACTTTGCAGACAAATTTTAGGTGGTATGTTAGGCTCGGCGATACTAAAAGATGGTAATCCAATTACACTACATTATGTAATGTTTATACCGACTATCATGGGACAGGGTACTGTAGAACAGCAGAGTTACTGGATATCCCGAGCTTGGAGTTGCAACATCATTGGTACTTATGCTCAGGTATATTTTTTTTCATAAAATTTTAATATTTAATCGCTGCTATCTTGACATCTAACACATTGGCGAATAATTTACACGACGCATGTTTTATAAAAACAAGAATTTTAAGTAGTTAATGTCGACAATGTTATTAATATAACATGATTTTTTTTTTCAATCTTCTTCTCGACTGAGTTGAAAAAAAGATGAGCACAGTTTATTTTGATATTAATAATATATATATTTTTTATATCTTAACACTTTTGACGGCCGCTGTCACATATACGTGATGTAATACTTCATTTTTTTTATTTTATTGCTAAAAAAACGTAAAATAAATAATTTTCGCATGATACCTGCGAGATTCGTCGGCGGTAGATAGGAAGCAATAAGCAAACTGTGCGACCGTCAAATAAAACATTGACAAATTAAAAAAATACTTAGATATGTCAAAAGGATCGAGACCAACCTTAGTCATCTATATTTGATTTGACACATTAAAGTTTATAAATAATAATAGAAGTTAAGCATCTCTTAACTTCTATCTAAACTTTTGCTTAAAGTTCTTTAAAATACGGTAATCGCGTATAATTAACCGCACTGGCTATTTAGACCATTTATTTGGTGTCTTTTCTTTTCTTTTTTTTTTGGATTAAAATTTATACAGCAGAGTTTTATATAATTATTGAGTTTTTACTTGCTTTGTCGAGACGAAGTTTTTTCAATATAATGACAAAAAATAAATTACATATTAATTTTTCTTAGACGGAACTTGGCCATGGCACGTTTATCAGAGGTTTGGAAACTACAGCGACTTACGATCCAGAAACCAAAGAATTTGTATTGAATAGTCCGAGCTTGTCTTCCTATAAATGGTGGCCTGGCGGTTGTAAGTACATTTATTTGTGTGAATATACATAATAAAACGAAAGAAAATATTTTAAATTTATAGAAAATCAGTTTTAACAAAATATGTAAACATATTAAGAAAATAATGTTAATTAATAACAAATAATAAGATATTATATACACGTATAATTATTTGTAATATATAATATATTTATAATTATGTATGCTAAATTTTATCATCCATGCCGCTGATACTCTCGATTTTTTTTAAGTGTTTGCTAAACAAAATTTATCAGGGATAACAGTTTAATTAATATATAATCATTATTAACTAATTATTATTCATTTATATTGTTACAATGTCATATTTCTTTATTTTCTTCGCTTTTGTTAATATTATTATATTAGAGTAAATAATTTTTTTACTTTTTATACATTATATATTTTGTTAAGTTAGATTTAATATTGCAGCATTTTTTCTGGTGTCTTTGCCTCTTAGTATACATTTGTTCAGTATTGTTTATTACACTTTCTTTACTGTAAAAAAACACTTAGTTTATGTGTCTAAAACTTATTATTATTACTATTATTTTATTATGTTTTTTTAGTGGGTCAGACGGCGAATTATGCAATTGTCGTGGCGCAATTACACACAAAAGGAGAGTGTAGAGGTATCCATCCCTTTATTGTACAACTCAGAGATGAAAACACTCACGAACCTTTACCAGGTATGTAAATCTACTGAAATTGCAATTAGCGTTCATATATATATATATATATATATATATATATATATATATATTTATTCTGCTGAGAGAGTATCTCACATTTACGGAAGAGAGACGGCAAAGATCTCTACAAAAACCTTGCTTTCACTCTCTTTCAGGCATAAATATCGGTGAAATCGGCACCAAGTTAGGAATGAACGCAACTAATAATGGTTTTCTCGGTTTCGACAACGTTAGAATACCACGCGACAATATGCTGATGAAAAACTCTCAAGTAACAAAACCAAAACATAATAATAATATAGTATAAATTTAATTGATCAACTGAAATGTAAAAAAAACTACGGACACAAGTTTATTATATTTACTTACTTAACTTTCTAGGTGCTGGAAGACGGTACCTATGTGAAAGCACCTAGTGATAAACTCACCTACGGTACAATGATGTTTGTTCGGGTGGTATTAGTACGTGATGTCGCAAACTATTTGGCAAAAGCGGTAACGATAGCTATTAGATATAGCGCAGTGAGACGACAAAGTCAAATAAAAGCCAAGTATGTGTAAATAGTTAACGCATGTTATATATTTGTATATGTGTCATTCGGGTTGTTGATTTTAAATATTTATACATTTATATATAATGTAATTTACATAAATCTTATGCGCACGAGGAAAATATTTTAATGCGTTTCCACGACACTTTTATTTATTCTAGTGAGCCGGAAGCGCAAATTATAGATTACGTTACTCAGCAATATAAGTTGTTTCCCAATCTTGCTGCGTGTTTTGCTTTTCGAATGTCTGCTGACTGGATTTGGGAAATGTATAATAATGTAACAAGTGAATTAGATCAAGGGGAATTAGAAAGACTTCCTGAGGTATAATATCAATAAAAGTCAACTTAGAATTTAGAGAATCATATGTGCTTAAATCTTTTTATTAAAAGAATAAAATTCTTTTCTTAGTTGCATGCACTATCGTGCTGTCTAAAAGCAGTTGCAACATCAGACGGAGCTACTGGAATCGAGCAGTTACGATTATCGTGTGGCGGGCATGGTTATATGGATGCCAGTAACTTGCCGGCAACTTACGGTTTAGTAACTGCTACTTGCACTTATGAAGGAGAAAACACAGTTCTACTATTGCAAACGGCTAGATATCTAGTGAAAGCTTGGAAACAGGCTGTTGGCGGTCAAGCATTGCCGCCAACGGTAGCTTATTTGGTCGATCTTTCACGCGGATTGAAGCAACGTCCTTGGAAAAATACTTTAACATGTATCATACAAGCACATCAGGCAGTTGCAGCTGGGTAATTTACTTTATTTATATCACAAGAAATATGTATGTAAAAGTATTAATTTATTTTATCTATGTATCTCAAGAGAATTTCAAAGAATAATAAACTATGTTAGGAAGTTTTATAAAAAAACATTACAGTAAAAATAGAAAAACGATTTATACTGACAAATAGAACAAATAAATGTTAAACAAAAACAATTTGCCGCTATAATAAAAAAGTCTATAATAATAAATCTATAATAATAAAAATTGCAAATAGAAGAAAGTAGCAAACAGAAGATTTAAATTTACTTTTAAGTATTCAAAACATATAAATTTATATCAAAATGCACTAGTTTTTTCATACTCTATCTCTCTAATATTTATAGATTAATAAAATCATTCAAAAACTATATTTCTTTTTATTATATTCAATCTACATGTATATTTCCAGAGAAAAGGCATAATTGATCAACTTTTGCAGATGATATTTTGTGAAAACAAAAGTTTTCGAGGACATTTTATCAATCAATGACATATCGAATGTTAGTAGTGGCATGTGAAAAAAAAACTACTATGTATTTTGATATAAAGTACAAAATGACATGATTTATTGCTTCCGACTCAATATGACTGTTAAAAAATAGATTGTCCAAAAGTTGAGGTCAACAATTCAGGTCAATAATTCATTTTTATAGCAAAATTCGCTTGGCAACGGAAAACATGGATCGCAGGATACGCAGCGGTATGTCACCAGAAGACGCGTGGAATCAAACCAGCATTGAATTAGTTCATTGTGCAGAGGCCCATTGCCGAGTTTTTCTCGTAATGAGATTCATTGAGAATATTAAAGAACTGACAAATGTGTCCAATCAGTTGCGTGAAGTTTTAATGCAACTTTGCGAATTATATGCATTATATTGGGTTTTACAACGGCTTGGAGACTTTTTACGAGTCAGTATTATAGAGAATTTCTTTTTAGAACAAAAATATATATTATATTTTAGGCTAGTCGGACGTTGTATTTAAGATCGTCTTAAGATCATTTTCATATGCTCTATAGCCAATGAGATCAGCCTTAGCATAGTTTTGACAACTACTGACATTTTGTTTAAAATACAATACATTTTTATATTTACAGTTTTCTTGTCTAAGTAATGAAGACATTCCGGCGCTTCAAGCTCGCTTTGAAGAGATGCTCGCTGCAATCCGTCCCAATGCCGTCGGTATCGTCGATGGATTTGACATCCGCGACGAAATTCTCGCATCCGCGCTCGGTGCGTACGACGGCAATGTATATCAACGTCTTTTTGACGAAGCGATGAAGAGCCCCCTTAATCAGGAGAGGGTAAATAAGTCCTTCCATAAATATCTAAAACCTTTTCTTAAAAGTAATTTATAGTTATTTATAATGTGCTTATTGCAAATCAGAGCACAACTTGTTATTTTACCATAATAATTATTTTATTATCATAGATAATCTTAATCTACGTATTAGTAAAAAGAGTAAACAAGACAAAATGCTAAATTTTCTAACAAAACAAGTGATAAGCATTGTTTGGTATCTTAATTGTATACAAAATGAGTTTTTACCTTTTAAATATAAAATGCGTTAGTATGATGAAGCAAATTAACTGTTTCGCACAATATAAATAAAACAGTATAGTATTTGCATAGTAATAACCGTATATGTCTTATTTTTACAAAGACAGAAAACCTCTTCTTTAAACTTGAGATAAGTTTTTTTAAACTATTTAAAAACCGTGTAAACACACACACAAAATATATATGTATAATTTACATTTGTAATTTACTAAATCATTCGACATTCGCATTATTATTCCAGATAAAATATTTTATACGTTTACAAAATTATATAAAAAATCAATATTTTTGATAGTGATATTTTATAAAATAGATTGCGTGATGTAAATAAAGACATGTTATGTATTTGCAAATCGTGATATACTATATCGTGGAATATGTTAGTACAAGGGTCAGCACTGCTCGCGGACGCCTGTGGGCAAACTATGTTGCAAGCAATAAATAGAGAGAGGGGATAAGTCACTTAAGCGTAATAAAAAGTAAATATGTAACACACACACACACAAATAATGTGTGTATGCGTTTTGTGTGCGTGCATGTGCACGCATATATATTAAAAAGATACACATGTACATAGACATATAAATGTATGTACATATATATATGTATATATATATACAATATATATATATAGACTAAATAAAAATAGCGATCGACAATGCAACGATGCAAAAAAAGTGCACGATGTCAATGCGACGCTAAATGATGCGTGAAGTAAGATGCCCATTTTACAATGAGTTGCAAATGTTTCGTCCAGTTGCGAAAGATGACTACTACTTAAAAAAAAGTGCTATTTCCCCGGTTGCAGTTGCCAAAAGTTAAAAGTTGACCAATTTTCTTTTGGCAACCGCAACGGCCAAGCGCAACTAAAAATAGCATTTTTCTCCTGGTAGTTGCTATCTTTTTATTGTAGAATGGCCTTCAGCCGTATACAAAATATATACAATATATTACGTACGTAACATTGTATACACGAGATATACGCGATTAAAATCAAACAAACGTATTGCGCGACGCGCGTAAGTTATCGTCATACGCGAAGTTAGTTAGATCTGTAAGTGTCGCAAGTACTCGGTACTCCGCAATTTCTAGTCTATATATATATATAGGGTGTCTCATGAAGACCTTATCACCGCTATATATATATAAATTTTATTTTACATACATATATGTATGTACATATATATATTATATATGTACATATATATATTATTTTTTTAATTTTTAAAACCAATGTTCTCAAAATCAAACTACTTATTTTTTTCTTTCTGCCTTTCACAAAATATTAGGAATAGGAATAAATATTAAATAAGAAATTTAAATTAGAGTTTTTTACAAAACAAGAAAATAGAATAAACTAATGCATCATAAATTACAAAATAAGAATTTGGAATAATTAATCTATTCCGTTCTCTTGTTTAATGTAACGTTATTTCAAATTCCTTTTCGGCGCTCGCGGGCGCCCGCGCCCACTTTCAAGCATTTTGCCGACCCCTGCGTTAGTATTATAAAAAAATTTTAATCTTTATAATTAAACAGCTAATCATGTATTTACTTTAGTTTAGATAGAATATTTGAATATTGTGGTAATTTGGTATATCTCTTCATATATATATTGTATATTGTATTTTTGGTATATAAATTTAAATAAAAAATATATATATATGTATATTGAATATGTATATTCTATAAGTATATCCTATTGATTGATTGATATTCCTTTGTGAAACTAAAAGTAGTCGCAAGAATCAAACACCGATTGTTTATGTGAAATATTAAACAAATTACATGTAAGTGATAAATCAAAGTAAATAACTGTGTTATGCACGATATAAATAATATATGAATGTACACGTTATTTGCATTTATTTTTCCTATAAAGTTCTTTATGTTATCTTGATGCATCGTTTTACGTATTAAAAAAAAAAAACGTTCTGAGAAAGAATTTATATAACTAAAAATGACATTTACTTTAAAAAAAGTTTCTAATGCAATTTTTCCTTAGAACGGTACAGTATTTATTTACAGAATAGGAGCGACGACATACATTATTGTTTGTTATTATACTAATAGAGTGCAATTAGTATTAATTTCCGTTAGTTAATAACATAATTATACTTAATGCCAGCAACAGCAGTAATACGTGTATTTAATGTTTCATGTTTTTTTTTTACGTGCAAAAACTTACTTTTTTTTATTGTTAGAATATATGTATTGTAAAATTATTCAGTATAATTATCCAGTGATTTTAAAGTTAAAAATATGGAATTTGTTAAAATACATGGGATAATTCATTACAAAATCGTTATTACTGCAATTGCAGGCGAGTATATATATATATATATACACACATATATATATATATATATATATACATATATATACATATATTTATATATATATTTTACTTATATATATAAGTACATATATATGTATATACGTATTTTGTGGATTCGTGCATAGACATATATATATATACACATACATACATATATATATATACACATATATGTAATATATATAGAGTGACCAAGGAATAACAGGAACAGGACAAAGAGGAGGAAGAGGAAAAGGATGGTGCCGTGGGATAATACTTACACTTAAAAAATAACATTGTGTTAATATTATCATTATTATTAAATATTAATTATATTCACCTTTAAAATTATTTTTATTCGTCCACCTGGCCTATGGGCTTTGTGTCTAACATTAGACAGACTTCTCATTGCTATAGTGATCTTACGGAGTACGTCTTCTTATAAAATATGATTTCATTACAATTATTATTTCTTCCCCTTCGCTTAATATTTCTCGAACGTTAATCGATCGTATGGTGAAGTGCAAGCTAGCAAGAGCGCCGAGGCAAGCAACATCATACAATCAATTAATTACTACCTAACAAACAATGGTTTTTTTTTTTCATCTATATCATATACGATTATTATTACAGTAGAGGTTACAAGTCCCAGTTCTATAGGTCTTTCCTCGTTCATTCCGCAGGACAAACGAGACAAGAATTACCCCAAGAGAGAAAAGATGACAAAGATAAAAAGATAGAAAAGGAGTGTTATATATATATATATATTTTTTTTTTTGTTTATATATAGATAAGAGCGTGATTTTACTTGCGTTTTTTTAGAAAATTAATACAGGGATTTAATATATTAAGTTATATGTGAAACAGAACTAACAATAAGTAAAGGATATCGCTCTAATATATTATGAAAAATATGACAAAAGAGAGAAGGTATTTCTCTGGTTATATAATCATCATTAAAGCTAGTTATTATACTAACTCATTCTTATCATTAATATCCTTATTGTGTGTGATTTCTAAGTATTCAAATTTAGATGTACATACTGAAAAAAATAGATGTTTTTATATGTGGATTAAAACAGTTTTCACACATACGCGTATTTATTTTTTCAAAAGGACGAAATAAATCTTGATTGTTCTTTTATACATGGAAATGAAATTTCTACTCTGATTTTCCGTTAAACAATTAAAATACATAAACTTGTCATGATACACGATGAAGAAAAATTGTTGACACAACATCATGATGTATATTCAGCAATAATAAATGAACGTAAGACAACATAATATTTTCATGTTAGAGAAGAAATTACATTACATACTCTCCGTAATAAAATAAATAAGGCTTTTAGTATACATTCTATATATAATAATAATAATATTATAGTTAGCATATAAATGTACGTAAAAAAAGCACGAGAAAAAAAAAAAAAAAACTTATAGGGCAATGGAGTTATGTTGTTACGACAGACAATGAGAGTGAAGTGACAAACATCTGATATTATAAGGCGGATTTGTGAAAGATTCGTACCAAATTGCTGTTTCTTACGTAGTATATGGCAGTATTGGCATGATATAGTTTTTTAGTTTACTTCGCGTCCGAATTTCCGCGACGGATCGGATTCTGCGAAAAGACAATGTTCGTATATCTTCGGGAGTAATGGAGTCGGAAATTACCGCGTGAAAGAAAGAGAATCAAGAATCATAAAACTGAGAAAGAAACATAAACGATTGACGGGAAAAAAAGAAATTGTAGCAAATGGAAAAATACTACTAATAAAAAAAAAAAAAAAAAGCGTTGATATGGTACATTCGTACGACAAATGTCATTGAAAAAAAAAAAATATTGGAGCGGACACGCATTAATAAACATGATAATAAATATTTTATCCGATACTCTACTAATAAGAGTTATTCGACAAAATGTCTCTTAGATTCAGCGGTAAGATGTTATTCTTTTAAAGATGTTATTGGCTCAACCGAGATTTGGACTGGGAATTGGACATTTTCAACGGACACGGTCATAAGGTAAAAAAAGTATCGCTTTTGTTTTTCTGTTCCCTTTCGCTTTCTATTAATATGACATTACTATGGCATCTGTTTTAGTCGTACTAAGGCCGTGCCACTTTCGGGACAAGAGGAACCACCTTCTTTCATGTCGCGCGTGATTACAGTATCCGTCTTTTCACTTTATGACGTTAATATAATAATAATTTCTCGTCAAATGGAATAGAGTCATCAGACGAGAAAAATCAGATTTTTCAAAGGCTTTTATCAGCATCGGAGCTATCTTTAGTAATAAAAGTGGATATTTTGTTTTTGGGTGGAAGGAGGACGATGTTTCATTGCTAACCACACGATTTACTGAACTTCATAGATTACACACTCGCTTGCTCATGTTACTTTAACCACTGGACAGATTAAAACGTATCTAAAACGTATCTAAAAACATTGAAAAATATTCAGTCTATACGAAACAACTTTATCTACATGTTCTAGTAGCTGCAATTTTGATTCAGTAGGAATACGACTTAAAAGATGGAATGGATGTCTATCGCGAAATTATTATAGCTATGCGTATTTCATAGCTGCTTGTTCGCGTTTGGAAAGCATGGCACGCTAACTGAGAATTTACTTTATTTGCTAAATGTATGACTGGTTATATTACGTACAAAAGAAGGATTGTAATGAAATTCACACTAAATGCCTGATAAATATACAAAATCACAACCCACACGAAACAACATTCCATACAAACCTCTATTAGATGTTCATTAGACGTCACATAGTATTATATAATATACGTCCAGTAAAGTAGTTATACGTCTAATGGACCTTACACGTCTGTGTGGGAAGTCCATCTCGAGATAATCTCAAAATTTACGTATAATAATTCTGATGGAAACATACATCAAGTAAATTTAGCAAATAATGTCAATAAACAGGTGATTCAAATTATCAGTATCTTTATATACGTGTTCTCTTATCACTGATATACATATATATTAAGAATCAAGATATACACACGATCTCATGTGAACCACGCAGAAAGCTGCATTAAAACACGATTAAATTATTTAAAACAAATTGAAAGATATATCCGAGTATTTAAAAAAAAACGAACACTCTATCTTTCTATATACGCGCGCATTTCTACGATATTACAAAATAACATCGAAAGTTATGTGAGGAAGGTATTTACGTATAAAATCTTATGTTTCAGAAATAATCGATATTTTATAATGGTATATACAGATATCGGCGGTCCATCGGATAAAATTCCCTATCACTAAGTATATATATTTTGTGCAAATTATATAATTCCTACAAATGCATCGAGATTAAAAAGATTATTGTGAGATTTTAACCTCTCTCGGCACATAAAGGAATATTTTGGTTTAGACAGCTAAATTTCAAGTCTTTTTTTTTTTTGTTTAAGAATTAATTCTATAAAGAAAAAGACTAGAATATATATATATATATGGTCTGAATTAAAATTAATTCGATCAAATTGTATATTTCACACAATGTTAACTATTTAATAACCGTGTATAAATAAGAACTCCAATTTTATTTTATTTCTTTGGAATTAATTCTTAAAAACAGACCTAAACAATTTAGTTGTTTAAATCAAAATATTCCTTTAATATTCGCCAACGATGGTCGCTCTACATAATTAATGTACAACATATTCTTAATATAGGCGCTCTTTTTTTCACTACACGATTGATATGGACGAATTTCGTCGTTCTTCGCGCACTACAAAAAAAAAAAAACAAAAAAAAGAAAAAAAAACAATCTAATCTTCATCAAACTTAGTATCAAAAACTCGCATAAAAAGTGGATATCGTAAGGTTAAAAACAAAAAGGAAGAACAAATAATGGCAGCGATGCGAACGAGGTTGCAGCTTAGACTCCTCGTTGCTCTTGCTGTCGGAGAGAAATCACGGTGCCGCAACGATGTTTCTTTCCCTCCCTCCTTCCACCAAGAGACAGAATGATTAACGACATAGCAGCAGCGTTTATCGCCCACGAATTTTCACGCTCTCAGTCCTGTACATATATATATATATATATATATATACACACATTTACACGTGTATGTATATGTATACATATGTACATATGTATACGGTAGGTACGTATGAATTTATACGTATGATACATACATGTAAATATACATATATATATATTTATGTGCTATTAAATATATATATATTTATATTCGATATATATATATATTTATGCGCATACTAAATACGCTTGTAAATGCATCTTGGAATTGGTGCAACTTCGCCGACGGGACACACACGAGTTTCGTAGTCTTATCGTTCACTTTATCCGTCACCTCAGTTATCAGCCGGGATGATTGCAATCCGAAGAGAATCTTCGGAAAGCTGCAAATGTAGGTAAAAACAAAAAAAAAAAAAAAAAAAAAAAAAAAAAAAAAAAAAAAAAAAAAAACAAAGAAAAAACTGCGCT